ATTGTTATAAAAGGAAACACTGTATAGTATTGTAAAGTTCTAATGATCTATTGAAGAGCTATTTAAAATACTATTTCGATGAACAATCCGAACCATCCCTACACAAGCAGTGTTACCGCCTGCCTGATAGGTGTTAGAGAAACCGTTAGTTTATGTAAGTATCGTAGTTAAAGAAAATATTTATTATGTTCGATATGCATATAAAATATTCTGCCAGAGTTATGTTTTCTACTAATTCCTTTTAGGTAAGAAATGATGTGTGCATTTGTTTTTTGTAGTTGTTGTTGTTGTCATTTGCATGGGCCTAACACAGTTTCACAGGTTAAACATTTCTAATAAAACTTTGTGAATAAATATTCTAAACAAATTTTGCTGAACATTTGTGTAACTACTTTATAAAAAGTATCAATAATTCATGTACTATTTTGAAGCGGATCTTTCCGATACTTCTCCAGTCTTTTCACGGCAATGGATTCCAACCGATCACGTGCTGCAGGGTAATCTTTGAGTACATCCCACATGTCTTGTTTATTTAAACAGAAAAGGTCAGAGTAGCCAACGGACCGTACCGACGCTGTTCGTCTATTGCCTGTTGTGCTCATGTTCAGAATACTGATTTCACCAAAATAGCTTCCAGCCCTCAGGGTGGCAAGCACCGTCTTTCCATTGTCTGTGACTACTTCTAGCCGGCCCCTATTGACTATGTACATCTCCTTCCCAACCTCACCTGCAAAAAACAAAACAACAACAAATCCAAATAAAATAATTAATAATTGTTTGGATAGTTCCAAGATTTCCAATTTTCCCAACTACTCAGGTAAACGTACTTTTTGAAAGTTTATGGTTAGATTTTAAAAGGTCTGAACAGTTTGTAGCATATCACAACGAAAATAGAATACTGCTTTTTACAGATGGAAGAAAAGAACACACATTATATTTAAAACTATCAATATGAATCTTTTAAGAGAATATATCAATCTTTACCAGAAGTAAGTGTAGACAGTTTTATTAGTTTAAAATAAAACAGAGATTTTAAAAAGAAAAAGATAAATGCATTAAATACAAAGGAAAAGCAGGGATGGTTATAGGCTCTCACTGTTGGGGCAGGTGGTATTTTGTTTTGAGTGTCCTGGAAGTTGATACTGATATGAAAAATAGAACTACCCCCCCCCTCTTGACTAGCACTGTATAACAAAAAGTACACCTGACTTAACTGGTTCAGATGCGTAATAGCGGTAATATTAGTGATGTATCTCATGCTAGATGGGAGATTTTTTATTCACATACCTCTTAATGGTAGTCTAATATACATTGTGAGAGATTTTGTCTTCCTTTCTTAATAAGTGCTCGTTTCCTACATGATTAAAAATAGATACATTACACAGTTACTAACAGTTAATTTATAGGTGTAACTAAACATGTGCCATGTGTTTATGTTTACTGCAGAATTACATACTGTGTAGATTTAGTACAAGTTATCATTATTTAGTTTCTTAGAAGCTGCTCAGAATAGGCAAACATGTAACATGGGTAAGATGAATCATAGCTGCACTAGCTGCCAGAAGAAGTTTCATGGAGCATGGAAGCTGGCAATCAGACTGGATCATCATCAATACCCAAAGGATCACCACAATCACCAATACTCTTCAACGTCTAAACCATGGATCTAGTCAGTCTAACCAGATGTTATGTGATTACCTTTGCTGACAATATTTTGGAATACAGCAGAGGCTCTTGCAAAACTGAAATAAAAAGCAAAGTACAAACATTCCTTAGCAGGGTGAGCAAATGGTGCTTTGACACAGGAATAGTCATCAATCCTACCGAAGCCAGACTCAATAACAGACATGCTAATGAGGACAAACCATCACCATCTTTTGGGTACTGCTATCCCTCTGGAATAAGCACTGGAGCAACATTTGACAGATAATTCAACTTCACCAGTCACATTAACAGCAAGACAATCCGAGCTATCAAAGGCATCAATTTCTTGAAAGTCGAAGCAAACAATATAGCTGAGTAACATCACCTGCTTACACTCTAGAAAAGGTTTATCTATTCCATCCTGGAATATACACTACCAATGATCAGTATGAAAGCTATGCAGCTAGATAAGATTGAAACAATGCAAAATTAATGTTTGAAAATGGTCATAAGGTGTACTTTGCCCACCCCTTCAAGGTCCTACAACAATTCCCAGATCTCAGCAACATCACAGTGCACTAATAGTGCTTATAAAATTATTCACTACGGCCTTGCAGTGTAAAGACCATGCATTCCATCACTGAGCCACTGTCTTTTTTGTTCTTTTGGCCAGTAAAGCTTCACAACAACTCAATTATTATGAAGTTTGGTGTAAGGAACATCACACCAGTTGAAGTTGAAAGAGGTGAGAAAGATGTGGCCAACTTTAGGTCAGTCACTAAGGAATTAGGGGATTACAGCACTCTAGGTCACTAGAAAATGATTGGGGTGAGTGCTTCCTTTCTAAGCTCAGCCAGTATGGAAATGACAAGATCTCCTATGCTTATGAAACTATAATCTTATATACAGAAAGGTCAGAAAAAAGAGGTCGTTTCGGAATGGGTTTAAAAAGGAATGTAAAAGACAGGTGTTCAACGAATAGGAAAGAACAGAAGACCAGGAGATATATTAGAGAACAAGTAAACCCCCAACAGGTGAAGGAAGAAAGTAATATGCTGCCAGTAAGAAACAAAACCTATTTCTATATATATATGTGTTATTGATTACCAATAGTAAACAACAATTTGTTATGCTTACATTGATATGAGTCAATTTCTGATAGGAATAAGTACGATCTAAATAAAGTTAATGGACACAGAAAGGGAAAATGAAGACGAGCTTAGCATGATCATAACACCTACAGACAACATCCAAACAGGGGAGTGTTTAAGAGATGCTTCAGGAGACACCTATGTTTGGACATATGAGTTACAGATGGCACTGAAATAATTGGTCACCACTATATCTTAAATGTTCCCACGTGGAATAAACATTTTGCCACAGTGAGATCTGTGAAAATTAGCCTAGACAGAAAATGTGTAAATTGGGTAGATGGTGAAGCAGAAAAGCATACCATTACCTATGTAATGACCATAAGGGACATTCATCTGTTGTCATGTGGCTCCTACATAACAGATAAGAGACCTGGTTGAGAATTCATCATCGTATAGAAGAACAACATTCTGCATAAGACTAATGGAGTATTCAAGCTTCTCACAAGATGATCAATAGTGGAGCTAGAAGCCATAAGGCAAGCTCTCATTTTAACTGCTGAAACTGCAAATAGACAGTGCCACCAACATAAAGTTTGCAGCTGATTTACAAGCAGTTCTGTACGAAATTCACAGTGGTTGGTCCACAGATCTATGGCCAAAAGCAAAGCAATTGCGTGTTAAGATCATCACATGAATTTATACGCAAACCATGAAGGGATAAAACTGAGTGAGGAAGCTCACACAATAATCCCCTTTATCAAATGTAGCACAACTCTCTTCACTCATATACTGCAATCATGGAAGGTTTTCATCAACATTTAAAGGTCGAATGTACTGGAAAACAAGATGTCATGTTGTGTAACTGGGAAAAGCAAAAGTCGGGTAATCAGTATGATAGTGTACAGGCATAGAGCTACTAGTAACATCAGTAAAGGAACTTTCTCTTCTACCTCTTGTGAGACAGTTGGCTTCCAGATGACGGGTCAGTATCTGTTGGTTGTCACCTAGTTCTCAAATCAGTTGAATTCAAGGAAAATTAAACAATATAAGGACAATGAATAAATGGGGCTGTTACTACAATAAACAATGTAAAACATGTGTTATAGTTCCTCACATACATCTAACACATTTAACAGTAAAAAATATGGTGTTTCAAAAGACTTAAGTTATAATTCCACACATATTTCAGAATATAGGAGTTAATTGATAGAAATAATAATGTGTAGACCAAATTCTATCAGTACAAACATTGTTTCACTGATTAAGAAAAAATGCAATCTTCAGGTTGAAAGAAATGGTTTTCACACATTTAGTTAAACAATCAGGTCAAAGTTTCCCCTATAGTTCAAGTACAGCTATCTGTAGTTTGAAGTATTTGCCGCCAAAGAGGCTTTGGCAGACTCTTAGTGCTACATAAATTTAACTTTAAAACGAATCTACACTGAAATTAAAGTGCACAGCCTATTCAGCGGTCTAACGTCTCAAACCATTGGAACACTTAAAGATTAAAGATCAAATTAAGCGTAAAGAAAACTCTAATAAGTCAGGTATTGAAATAGATTCTGTTTGTCAAATTTCTACTTTAGATGCTGCTTGGCGTCTATAAAAAGGTAACAAAAGTGGTAAAAAGTTGGTTTCTCTTCATGATAGCATTAGTGGTTTTAATGATCGTTGTGTTGTGGTAAGAAAACAGTACTATAAACTGCTCATTACACCTTTGGGAGAATAGTGATATTACATACATTTATATAACATGTTGGATGCACTATTTCTGTGAAATTAGTTTTAGCGTTTACAGCTTAAAAAACAAAATGATAATAATTTGATACCTAAATTACCTTTACGACAGATATAGTCTCCAGGACTGAAAAGAACAGGCCGCAATCGCAATACCAATTCACATAGAAACCCAGCTTCTGTGTTCTGGAAAATTTCAACTTGTTTCAAAGTGTTTAGATGCACGTGAATAGCTATTTCTGCTTTGAGTTTATCCGGAAGAAATCCCACCGAGCGGTCCTCATCAGAAGACTTCTGAGTCACCCAAAGGTAATCAAACCATTTAATCACCTTGTTCTGGAGATGGTCTGGTACTCTACGCATGCGCATGTAAGTCTTTACGACATCAAGCCTTGCTAAAAAAAATTGACAATTATCAATATACTGAAAGTAATATTGTAAAAGCACACACACACATATATATATATATATACATAACTTCAAAAAAAGGTAATTTACAAATGATCAAACTTTAAAACAAAGGACGAATAGAAAAGGCAATTATCATGTTTAACTAGTTTCATTCTTAAACCAGAAGATAAAACACTTTTGTGCTAGTTTAGTTAAGATATTAATAAAGTAAACAAAATAACATTTTTTTTAGGTTTCTATCTTTTTAAGTATTTTTCTAAGTACAAAGAAACATTAGAAAAGAGTCTTAATTTGAATTTCTGAAAACGGATGATATTTTTTCATCGATTTTACTGACATTTTCACGTAGGTAGTCTACAAGTGATGTTTTTATTAAGTATCAAACTTTTTAATAAGAATAGTACTAAAGTTTAACTAAAAATTAAGCCAATTAAATTTATGAGATTGACAAAGTTTAAAAAATGTACGCTCTTCTTCGTTATTTTGTGTGTACAATAAGTACCTTGTTTCTTGAATAATATCAGAGACATAGCTGTATATTTTGATCGAATAATCCTTCAAAACTACATTCTCTCTAGTAAAGTTTTACTTGTAATAAAAGATATTTAATAGATGTAATTAGAATTGCGAAACTACTATATTTTTTATCCTTAACAAACCTTTGTTTTTAAACTATTAATAATTTTTTTAGAAAACTGGATAAAATTATAAGGAATTGTTTCTTCCTTTATCGTAGAGTAAAACGTAATTTAAAAGAAAATTATGCATAAATGAGGCGTGAAAAACTAGCGAAAATATCACCAGCATGACATTGAAAAAGTAGGATAATATAGCTAGCTGTATTTACAGCACGTTGTTCAAGTTTTATCATTAACTATTCAGTTCGGAGTGGAATAACGACGCAACCTCTGAAATTCCAGTCAACTTGGACCTACTAGTTTTTTTTGTCTGTTTTTTTTTTTTTTACTAAAAACAAAACAAAACTGCATATCATTCTTAGAAGCGGTTGATTCTAGTTTAGCTCATTAACAACATGTCACGCGTGATAAATGCTCCTGAAGTAATGTACTTTTTTAGTTAGTCCATGATCAAGGTTCTGTGCTTCTCAAAATAAAACTTTTATATGCATAAAAACCATGTAAAAGCTCGCAATACAACCTGCAAAGCCAAAGCACCAGTATCCTTTCACTAAATCTTGAGCATATTGAATGAAAATATAAAAAAATAAACAAATAACACATGCTATAGTTAAAGTAGAGGTATGATGTAAATACGACATAGCGAGAACAACCATCTTTATGGAATATTAGACTTCCAACATTATAAATAAATCATTCTCAAGTTAATTAATTGGAACAAACAATTGTATAATGATTGTGCTGTTTCAACAAAAACGTATCTAAGAAAAATGTCAAAAGTTTGGAAAAGTTGAGTAGTTTTTAAAAAACCTCTAAAGCTGAGATGAATAGCTTTCTTGCACCATTTTCTTGGCCTGTATAAAAACACGTTACAATAAACGTGAAACTTGAATGCTCTATTCTTGTTTTCGTAAAAAACAAAACAAAACGAAATTGATGTTGTTAAATGTGGTGATTCTCAGTTAATTTGTGCTTTTACTGATCAAATGTTTGTTTTAGCGCAAAGATGCACAACAGATTGTCTGCAATGTATTCATAACTAGGATCGAACCTCGAATTCTTACTTTATTAACTCTCAAGTTTACCGCTTAGACACCAGAGGACTAATTACTGATTGAATCAGTAGTCACTTCTGGATCTTTTTTATTTAAGGAAAGCCTCATTTACATATTCACTAAAGAAATGGTTTGAATAATTTGGACACAAATTTTGATTGAAATGAATAATAACGTTTTAATGTAAAGTATGACATCGGAACTAAAACGATTAGTTACGCTTATTGTTCAGAAATACGTATTGTTTGTTTTATGTTAAAGAGCAAAGTTGCATAATGAAATCCTGATTTTTTTCCATTTAAACCCTCAAGACTGAGCCACCAGGGTACAATATACACAGGTGAGAACACAACAGTACGTTCATACATGCTATATGTTGATCATGTGCATCATGTTTTCACGTAGACAGTCTTTGTAACAATATCTTATTAAGGCACATTGCCAAAGATTACGATCTACAGTTCGTGGCTTTCATCCCCAGTGCTTCTAGAAGCCTATACGTTCTAACGTAACATTGTGGTTGTATGTGGACACGTTATTGAGCTTGAATTATTGGCTTTCAGATATTGTCTTACATTGTTTTTCTGTTAAAGTTTGTCATTGGAGATGATGAACGTGAATTTTAAGAAGGGTGAATTTCCTTATATATTAGCGTTTGGGGTGAAGGAATTAACATATTCCCTGAATTAGGATATATGTATGAAATGCCTTTTTAAATTCTCCTTTATTGGGGCGGGCGAATATAACTACCATAAACAAGAAATGAGATATTTTCATGTCTTTTTAAGTATGCCGTGAAGAGCAGTTTTATTTTTTCTTCATAAATAGCAAGAAGAAGCTCTTTCTATCAATAAAACAGTTTATGTTGTGATGATAGGTATTTCAAAAAATGCTGTATTCAAACAAATGATATTATAGTGGATATATCTGAAATGGAACTTTTAAAAGCATATTTATTGCCTCTTCTTTTTTTTACATAGCTGAATCTGAAAGACATGTACCACTCTTATAAACTTTAGCTACTCAGCAGTATTGTTTATTTTATAAAAACCTTAAGTAAAACCATAAGTAAAGTACCTCTTTAGATGTTTATTTAAAAAATTTAATCAAAATTTAAAACGCAAATCTTTTTTTTTGCCAAGCAAAGAGTTCTGGACAAACGGTTTTAACTGACGTTAATAACTGCTTAATATCTGCGATTGTTGGACGTTTACCTTTAGGACATGGCGTTCGTGTATATTTTGCTTAGTCACACAGCTTACGATTTGCAAGATTTTAGCGTTCACCTCAGGGAGATGGCGTGAATTTTTACTTCTCGTTATAAACTTTACTGGAGCATGAAAGGAGAGATTAGTTCTGCTTAGTAGCTAGAGTTTTAAAGAGCACTGTGGTATAGAAGTGGCATACAATAAATGTCTCGGTAGCTAGAGTTTTAAAGAGCACTGTGGTATAGAAATGGCATACAATAAATGTCTCGGTAGCTAGAGTTTTAAAGAGCACTGTGGTATAGAAGTGGCATACAATAAATGTCTCGGTAGCTAGAGTTTTAAAGAGCACTGTGGTATAGAAGTGGCATACAATAAATGTCTCGGTAGCTAGAGTTGTAAAGAGCACTGTGGTATAGAAGTGGCATACAATAAATGTCACGGTAGAAACATATGCTTATTTGTACAATGTTTCAGGCCAAACGTCCTTCCTCAGGTACATTAAGGCCAAAACATTTATTCTGATTAGTTTTATTTGCTTGTTTGTTTGTTGTTAAGCACTAAGTTATATAATGAGTTATCTGTTCCCTGCACACCGCGGGTATCAAAATCTAATTTTGAGCGTTATAAGCCCTCGTAGTGTTAATAGGAATTATTACTATACAGTTTAGTAATTGCTATGAAATACAGGTAAAACAATATTTAAATAGATAATTAACAAAACATAGGAGAAGTGTTTTCCAATTGATTACTAACAACCAGTAAGTAATTTATAAGTCACTATTCAATAAATTTCCTAAATTAGATTTTTTATATCAACTGAGTGCAAATTATGTAACTAATGCATATTTAAAACTATTTAAAAATTTCATAGAAATACTATTATTAAACAGAAATGTTTTATGTACAAAATCTAAAATATTAACATGTGCAAGGTGAGATAAATAGAATGTATGATTAGAGTTATTTTTTATTCCAACAAATATTTTATCCTAATTGAGAGATGTTAATCCAGTTTTACTATTGTGTTCTTTATTTGAATATTACTTGATGAAATGATACATTCATTTGTTTTGTGCAACAGCTATTGTATATCTGTGGTGTGCAACAGCTATTGTATATCTGTGGCTTCGCAATCCAGAAGAGGCCAAACATTCGAACAACCAGAAAAGTTGTCAATAAAACGAGTAAGTGACCTTATAAATAAGCAGTTAACATACATATGATAAGAGTTAAAGTTGAACATAATAATAATAGTATGATAAGAGTTAAGATTGAACCTATTAATAATAATATGATAAGAGTTAAGGTTGGACCTATTAATAATAGTATGATAAGAGTTAAGATTGAAAAAAATAATAATAATAGTATGATAAGAGTTAAGATTGAACCTATTAATAATAGTATGATAAGAGTTAAGGTTGAACCTATTAATAATAGTATGATAAGAGTTAAGGTTGAACATAATAATAATAGTATGATAAGAGTTAAGATTGAACCTATTAATAATAATATGATAAGAGTTAAGGTTGGACCTATTAATAATAGTATGATAAGAGTTAAGATTGAACCTATTAATAATAGTATGATAAGAGTTAAGGTTGAACATAATAATAATAGTATGATAAGAGTTAAGGTTGGACCTATTAATAATAGTATGATAAGAGTTAAGATTGAACCTATTAATAATAATATGATAAGAGTTAAGGTTGAACCTATTAATAATAGTATGATAAGAGTTAAGATTGAACATAATAATAATAGTATGATAAGAGTTAAGGTTGAACCTATTAATAATAATATGATAAGAGTTAAGATTGAACATAATGGACCTTATGCATTTTCATCACTAAGTTTTATGTTAGTTTTTATTTTAAAACTGTCAATATTATATTATATTCATTTGAGCATTAACCAATAACTAATGTGGAGTAGGACTATGTTTACCATTGGGAAACGGGGCAACAATGGCCTGGTGTGACATGCTCTGCACCAATGTATCTGTTCTGACTTACAGCAGACAAGTAGAATGGCCATACATACAGCAGACAAGTAGAATGGCCATACATACAGCAGACAAGTAGAATG